TTTCACCCAAAACAAGCAAAGGCAGGACTGAGGGCTGTGGATTAGAGTCATCTACACTGCGGCTTGTCAGGAGACTACAGTGAGCCAGTGTATAACACGTCCTGGTGTCATAAAAGCAAAAGAGTTTAAGTGAGCAATGCTAAGATGAAAAGTTCATTGCTGTCAAGCCCAAAACCAACTCCTAGCTGACCTTATCTCAGGATTTGAAGGGTAAGAAATTCTTATATAAATGCCACATCTTCTCAATGGTTTCAAACTACCTTTGGGTAGGCTCTACAATTCAGTATCATGTGAATACATAAAACTACTATGTCTATGTTCTTTACGATTATTAATTATGCATCTGAGATCTCTTCAATGAAGAAGGATGACAGAAAATGCATTGACGCCTTTGAGCTGTGGTGTTGGAGAAGAGCACTGAACATTCCATGGACGGCCGAGAGAATGAACAGATATGTCTTGGAGATGATGCAGCCAGAATGCTCTTTGGAGGCCAGAATGATGAGGCTTCCTCTCACATCCTTTGGGCATGGTGCTGGGAGGGGCTATTCCTTGGAGAGGGACATGATGCTGGGAAGCGTGGAGGGTCAGTGAAGGACAGGAAGACCCTCAACCAGGTGGGTGAACACGGTGACTGCTGCAATGGGCTCTTGTGTGTCAGGAAGGGTGAGGACGGTGCAGGACAGAATAGAGTTCAGATTCACTGTTCATGAGTTGTGCTTGCTTGACTCTACAGCCCCTAATAACAACAATATGAGAACGGATTTTCTTCCTTATATTTTTGAGGATCACTCACTGAAGGGATCCTTTGGAGTCAACAGCCTTTGAGGAATCTCACTGATGACATGCTCTTCCAGGATCATAACAGGTGAATCCCGTCAGCCTAATGGAAGCTGCCTGTGATTTCCTCTATTTGGAGAGTCTTCTAGGATCTATTTGAAACCTATTTCAGAGTCTACTGCCTAAGTCAACAGTCATCACACTACCCTTCTCTATTTCATCTGTTCAATAGCTGATGGTGTTAATAATGTGCTGGTGAAACAGGTTCAATACATTGGTGAATGTGGCATATATAGTGAACACTTTCTTGCTCTGTTCTGATGACTGCCTCCTGGTGCAAGTATGGGCTTCACATAAGCACAATCAAGTGTTCTTGGATTCCCACTCTTCTCAGGGTCAGCCACAGTTTGTTGTGATCCACACAGTCAAATGCCTTTGCCTAGTTGATAAAACACAGATAGACATTTCTCTGGTATTCTCTGCTTTCAGCCAAGATCCATCTAACATCAGCTACAATATCTCTAGTACCACGACCCCTTCTAAACTCAGCCTGGACTTCCAGCAGTTCTCTGCTGATGTGCTGTTCTAATCGTTTTTGGATAATCTTCAGTAGAATCTTGCTTGCATGTGATAGCAATGATATTGTTCTGTAGTTTCCACACTCTGTTGGGTCACCTTTCTTTGGAATGGGAACAAATATAGATCTCTTCCAGTCAGTAGGCCAAGTGGTTGTTCTCCAGATTTCTAAGCACAACTTGGTGAGCACGTCCAGGACAGCATCTGTTAGCTGAAATATGTCAATTGGTATACCATCTATTCCTGAAGTCTTGTTTTCCCCCAATACTTTCAGAGCAGTTTGAACGTCTTCCCTCATCACCACAGGCTCTGTTGCTCACTACACCACTGAAAATTAAGAAAGGGGTGCATCAATGTAGTCTTCTCTCTCCATACCTATTCAATCTATATGCTGGGATAATTATTCAAGAAGTTGGACTCTCTGAAGATCAATGTGGCATCAGGATCGGAGGAAGACTTAGCACTAGCCTGCGTTATGCCAACGATACAACGTTAGTTCCTGAAAGTGACGAGGTCCTGAAGCACTTTTTTTCTTGCAGAAGATCAAAGAATACAGTCATCAACATCGATCACATCCAAACGTCAGAAAAACAAAGCTTTTTACCACTAGGCTGATATGATCTATCCTCTATCACAAGAGAGAGAGAAAAAATTGGAAACTGTCAACAACTTCATGTTCCTTGGATCCACAATTAACACCCTTGGTATCAGCAGTGGGGAAATTAGGAAATGCATTGCATTGGGCAAGTCTGCAGTTAGGGACCTCTCCAAATTATTGAAAAGTAATGACGTCAGTTTGGGGACTAAGGTGCGTATGATTGAGACCGTGATCTTTCCTATGACTTGCTATGCATTTGAGAGCTGGAGAAGGAATAAGGAAGACAGAATAAGAAGTGATGTCTTTTAGCTGCGGTGTTGGAGAAAAGCACTGTACACTCGATGGGCGGCCAAGGGAAAAAAACCCTCTCGGTGAGGGTGCAGACAGAGGGCAATTTGGAGGCAAAGGTATTAAAGCTTCGTCTCACAGGCATTTGCTAGGAGGGGCTATTTTTTGGAGAGGGACATGAAGCTGGGAAGGGTGGACGGTCAGTGAAGGTATGGAAGACCCCCAAGTAGATGGGCTGACATAGTGACTGCTGGCACAGGATAGGAGAATGCTCAGATCTGTTGTTCATAGGATTGCTATCGGTCATACTCAACGGCACCTAACAACTTCAACAACAACAACAATCAATCGTAAAGGAAATTATAAAACTAAGTGTGTACTAACAAGTGTATGAAAAATTTCTATAATTTTTAGACGTTTATTATTTTTTAAAGCATTAATTTTCTTTTCTCCCCCCCCCCGAATTTATTTTATTATTTTGTTTGTGTGTTTTGACAAATCAGATCTGACTTGGTACAGGAGGAGCTTGCCCCTCCTTCTCCAACAGAGCATCTGGTAGATTTGAACTGTTAAACTTTTATTATTTTAAAAAAACAAAAACAAGGGAGCTCTGGTGGCCTAGTGGCAAGCCGCTGCACTGCAATCCCAGAGGTACGCGGTTCAAATCCACCAGATGCTCTGCTGGAGAAGGAGGGACAATCTCCTCCTGTACCAGTCACATCTGATTGGACGGTACACGTAAAAATAATACAATTTAAAAAATTTAAAAAAAAACAAAAAACAAACACAAAACCAACACCAAAATGAAAAGACAAAAGCCAGCCAGGAAAACTTCTAAGCCAGACAACTCCTACAGAACCAAAAATGCACATTCAGCAGAGGGTCAATGAACTTGCTAATGACTCTCAAAACCAGAATCTATTTGCGTTAAAGAGTTCACCAAAAGACTAAGAGGAGGGATTCTAGATAAGAGAAAATACTCTAGAATGATTCCTATTTTATGAGAATCTTTCATAAATTTTAGACAAGGTGCCAACATAATTTTAAAAATCAACAAATATCTGAGTTTCCAAATAGGTCGAGATATGAAAAGTCACTTTACTAGAAACAAGATTTTCTTCTCCAAGGTGGTCACTCAGTTGAGGACATCACTTCCAGATCAGGGAATGGGTGAGAAGCCAGCACCGGGCAGTGGGAAGCAGATGCATCGTGTCAGGTCCTGGCAGCAGCTACACTCTGTCCCTGAGATCTGGGAAAGGGCAGGAGGGTGACACAGAAGCCCAGGTGCAGGGACCATCAAGTGTGGCTTCCTCCCAGTTCTAGGCATCTGCCACCCTCATTGTCCTTCCTCTGCACAAAAAGGCTCCAATCTCCTCTCCCATCTGCCTTCTGCATGCACCTCCAAGGGTTCTCTGTTCATGCCAAAAAGAGGGCAGATAAAGGAATTTATGTATCTCAGAGTGCGAGGAGAGGTGATGTAGAAACGTATTTTTAAAATATTTTACATTTTATTTTTTTGTGTGTGAACCCTCAAATTGGATCCATTTTTTAAAAATGGAATTTTTTTAAAAAGAGCCCCATTCTTTTTATTATTACTATTACTATAATTATTATTTTTTGTGCAAATGAGATCTGACTAGTATAGGAGGATTCGAACCGTGAACCTTTGGGATTGCACTACAGCTTTATTACCACCAGGCCAGCAGAGATGCTCTTAAAGAACCCCTTTCTTTTTTTACCCTACTTCTTCTGTGTCATGATGCAAATAAAAGGATGGATGATCTCCTAAATAACTGATTCTTTTCATTACCCAGGCTTTCCACTTGGCTGTCACCACCTCACGTGGTAGCCAGCCAGACCAGACATGCAAGAAAGAAAGAAAAATTCAGGTCACAAGCAAACTCTGTGTTTAAAGGGACTCAACACACTTCCGCTTTCTGGGACTCCAGGTGCTTCACAAGAAGACTTCCGGGCGGAAACAAATATCAAAGCTTTCATTCTCAGTCTTCCTTTGGGAATCATATGGATTTATTTCTCTTAAATTACTACCGCCGAAGGTTGACATCAAGTCTGTGAAGCGGTCACTTTCCACTTACCATAACTCCCTTGCAAAAAAATCTCTAGAAGCCACAGCATGTCTCTTTAAAGAATATTTCAAAAAATTTTGCAAAAGGCAACAGCCAAAGATTCATTAAACAGTGTCAAAAAATTAATCACGTTAGCAAATGACAATTTACTTTCTAGCATCAAAGTCTACGCAAGATGGTACAAAATAGAAATTAATTTTTCTAAAGCATGATAGTTCTTTTTTTTAATTTTTAATTTTTTTGCAAAAATCCATTTAATATATTGTCCTCGGATAGAGGACGTATGAGCTAATAAACAGATACTACACTTGATCTTAGCCAAAAGGCAGAGAAGCGATTAAAGCATGATAGTTTTGTGTTCTGTTTATAGAGGCAACTATCAACGTTACTGCGCCCTCAATACACGCTTGATATTTTAAATCTATGGTTTATTTTATGCACGTATTATTTTAAAACCCGACACACACAAACATAGTTGTAGGACACCTGGGTTTTGCTTTATAATTTAAGGCGGTGAGGTTGGGTGGAAATAAATTACACAGGACCCAAGAAGCGTAGGTGCTTGTTTCCGCCTGGAGGCTTTTTACCGAGACACCAGGACTCTTTAAAACCGGAAGCGGAAGTCTTCGAATTTATTTTAACCAGGACTTCTTGTCTTGGTTGCGTTTTAGCGTCTGTCTCCACGTTTATGGTGACTGATGAGCGACTGGCCTTAGGTTCCGAGTCCGAGGCTGCCGCGCTCGCGATCCGATCGTGTCTGGCGTGTCCTGGAGCCTCCGAGGCCCCTTCCCGCCGCAGCGGCCGCAGCTGCCAAGTGTCCGGAGCGG